AAAAATTTTTTTTTCAACGTTTATTTTTTTTGGGACAGAGAGAGACAGAGCATGAACGGGGGAGGGGCAGAGAGAGAGGGAAACACAGAATCGGAAACAGGCTCCAGGCTCTGAGCCATCAGCCCAGAGCCCGACGCGGGGCTCGAACTCACGGACCGCGAGATCGTGACCTGGCTGAAGTCGGACGCTTAACCGACTGCGCCACCCAAGCGCCCCCACTACAGAATATTTAATAAACACATCTCTTGGGAGAATCACTGATAACATTGAAGGGTTCCCCATGTCTGCAGTCCTTTCGCATAGCTCCTTGAATGAACTTGTTGATTTTGACATGTTTCACACAATTTCACCTCTGAGTAACATTTCCTGATTTCCTCTAGGCAGCTAGTTAGTATTCTGTCCTGTGTGCTATCACTGTATTTTTTTCTTCTTCCCCTAGGAACATTGCCACTTTTATTTAACTGCCTCTTTAGATGCCTCTCTTCCCAGCTAGACAGTAAGTAACTGCAGGGCACTGAATATGCCGTATTTGTTGTTGTAATGCCAGTGTCCAGCAGAGTGCCTGGTACACATCAGCTATTTGAACATTTTTTAAATATTAAAAAAAAAGAGAGAGAGTGTATAAGCTGGGAAGAGGCACAAAGGGGGAGATTCTTAAGCAGGCTCCACACTCAGGGAGGAGACCAATACGGGGCTCTATCCCACGACCCTGGAATCATGACCTGAGCCGAAATCAGAAGTTGGACACTTAGCTGACTGAATCACCCAGGCGCCCCTCACATCAGCTATTTGATACAGTTGTACTTGAATAAAATAATTTCATATGTGATTCTACTCAATACATTGAACAAGTGCTACAGATGTCAGAAATTGATGCATTCTGTTAATGAAACAGAAATGAAAATAAATGAAAACTAAGAGCACTTGTTCTTAATTTCAGACATCATCATCCTTATTCCTTAGCGTATTTTAACATCCTTGGGAAATATGTTATTGCTTAAGCCCAGGAAAATAAATTGCTAAATTATCATACCAGGAGGAGTAACAGTACAGATTAGAAATACCACTGCCCAAGTCAAGGCATGGGTGTCTTCTTCTTCTTCTTTCTTTTCCTATATCCCAAGTGTCAGCCCAACTCTGACCAGTTGTCTTGCTCCTCTGAATCTCATGGTTGGAAGGGTACTGGAAATGTATACAGCCCAAACCACACACAGAGTATAAATCCTTCTTGAACATGTGCACTGAGTGGCCATCCATCAGTATGTAACCATGTCCAATAAAGGTAATCATACTTCCCAGTGCAGCCCATTCTGTCTGAGAAGGCTTCCTGTTGGAAAGTTCTTCCTTATACTGACCTGAAATCTGTTTCTCTTTTAATTTTTTTAAATGTTTTATTTATTTTTGAGAGAAAGAGAGCGCGAGCATACACGTGCGAGTGGGGGTGGGGCAGAGAGAGAAGAGGACAGAGGATCTGAACGAGGCTCTGTGCTCACAGCAGAGAGCCTCATGCGGGATTTGAACTCACAAATGTAAGCTCATGACCTGAGCCAAAGTCAGACGCTTAACCAACTGAACCACCCAGGTGCCCCTGTTTCTCCCTTAATTCCATGAATCGATCCCAGGTTCTGTGTCACTTTTGACCACTGAAAACTGGTCTAATCCCACTTTCAAATATTTGAAGACACCTGTCATGGCTGATTAGATGTCCCCTTTGTTCAAATGTCCCTTTCGTGATGCTATTTCATGTGTTCTCACTACCTTTATCCTTTCTCATGCTATGATCCCATTGAACCTACCAAGAGGTGCAGTGTGCCTTAGTAAATCTGCTTCATATACAGCTCTCCAAAAACATCTACTGGTGTGGAATTTAAATATCTTCAACACATTAGCCTTCTCAAGTAGGTTAGCAGCTTGATTACATAGAAAGAAATAGATCAATTGAGAAGCCTTTAAAAGCATTGTGGAAGGGAAAAGGAAAAGTTTGTTTTAATTTTAGATAACCATTCAAACTGTAATGACTTCAGTGCTTCCTTCTTTAGCTCCTGGCTTGTAAAGGAGACTTTGCAGCAGAGACCACATTTAATGACCTCTATGCCAGCGTGCTTGCTGGAGCACTAGGGAGGAGTGTTTAGTCGGAAGTTGGTATCACTGTAGTCTCATCACTCACGGATGTGTGCACTTTTGTAAACATGCATTCTTCATATTGCAGTTTGACTTTTTTTTTTTTGAGGTCTGCTTTGCAGGATGAACATTTGAGAGGAGCCTCATCCTCTTGTGTTATGATAGTCCTTAGCAAGATGAATAATAATGCCAAAACTCGAACTTATCTAATAATTGCATGGTTTTTTTTGTTTTTGTTTTTGTTTTTTTGCTAGTGCAGGTGCTTGACTAAAGATTATGAAAAGCGTCCAACAGTATCAGATCTTTTACAGCATAAATTCATTACTCAAATTGAGGGCCAAGATGTGATGTTGCAGAAGCAGCTGATGGAATTCATTGATATTCATCAAGGCATGGGAGGCACAGAAAAAGCCAGGTAATCAAGTAATATCTTCATTCCAAACATCTTCTAAAGACTCTGAACAATTTTATAATGGAATAGGTGTTAAGGTGAGAAAAGAACTCATTTAAATTCGTTCCTTGTGGTTGGGAAATAAGGGGGTACTTACATGAAAGGTGAATTCACATGTTGAGTTGCATCCCAGTATTGGTAATTGCTGGCAGCATTTTCTAAACAACTTTATCAGAATAAAGAATATAAACTTCAGTAGGTGATTAGTATTGGCATGTCTCTTCTTGTGTTTTCTGCTCTTCTGTAAAGTAAGGTATCTTAGATTTGAGATTAAAAAGGAACATAAGCCTTCCAAGACATTCTGGTAGTCTTATTTCTTGGATCATTTTTTTCAGGCTGAACTATACTCAAAAATCATTTTAAATATTTTCCTACTTCCTATTTGGGTTTCTAATAAGATACTATGTATAGTTTTTATAATATCAAATGTGTTTTTTACTTATTATAGATCGTATGTATGTTTATTTCAGGGATATAGATATAGATAGATATAAAAGATACAGGGAAGTATATAACAAAATCAATCAGTAAAACATTTTAATCTGTAACCTTTTAGTATCTTATGATGGATATACATTTAAGGAAATTGGAATAGTATTTATATGTGTTCTGTAGCCAGCTTTTTTTTTCTTTTTAAGCCCCATCGCCTATTTTGCCCATTCCCCACCTCCCTCCCCCC